CGAAAAATGCAACAACGATTAGCAGATGAATCCATTTTTGGCAAACCGGAAAAATGGGCTTATGATAGCTAACCGCTGACAAAAGGTACAAACTACACCTCACAGGAATAAAAGACATGTCTTAAAGTCAATGATGAAACAAACGGTGAAAAAATGTATTTTGCTGTTTATTGAGATCATCGCTTTGAACTTATTGTGCAGAAGAACTTCACAGATTTGCGATGTCCGCTGTAATCACAGATTTTCAAAGCTTTTGCTATGAGGCACAAGTTTCTCTGTACCAGAAAGTATTTTCCTCTGAACGCTGATCGACCAACCAGAGGTCCATCGGGCTTACAGAAGTAACGGGCGGTGCCCTCATAGCAAGAATGCGGTAAAGTGATAGAGCAACGATGATTATTACCATATTTTTTCCTCAAAGGTTCAAAGTTATCGACTCTAACATTGTTCCTAAGTGCTGCAAGACAGAAAAACGTGTATCTATTACCGTATCAAGCAGCAACGACCATTTCGAAACGATCGCGTTTAACCTTTCTCCAACGTCTGTCACAACCTTCTGTAAACCTGAATAAAAATGTAAGCAACTTTCCACACACATTCGACGACCTCACGCTTCTCTAAGGCTTCAGTTGTTCTGGCAAATTTACTCATTATTCGTTCGTAAGGTTCGGTGGTCTTAAGAAGAGGATCATATGTTGCGAAAAAATCCAAATTACAACAGCTTACTTGGACCAATTCAACAAGTGACCGCGTAAAGTTATGCAGCGTTCCCACGATTTCAGGAGTCTGAAATAACACACCATTAAAATTTTAACAAAGCTGTACTTCCGCTCTTCGAACAAGACTAGGTTTTGGTTTCCTTCAGCCAACGGTGGCAGAGAATTGACAACGATGTAGACACGTCTCACACTTCTACCTCCAAGACCCGAAATGATAATCAGTGATCGGAAACCACTGACTGACTGAGTGACTGAATGAGTGAGCGAGTGATTAAGTGAGTGACAGACAGACTGACTGACTGACTGACTAAATAGCGGGCAAATCTGTCTTTTTCAGCAAAGCGTTGCTTCAGTTAAAAACCCTGAGAAAGTTGACGAGTCAACGTAAAAAATCCTTTATTACTGATTCTGATTTGGACTCCAAACGGCTGTAATGATTGAGGAATAATTTCCAACCAAGGCAGCAGCACGCAACAACTTTTTGCACATTGCGGTTTATAACAACTATAAAACCGATCAAAATTCCCTGAACAGGAAAACGTAAAATTTAACCCTGCAGCTGAACCAAAAACAGAATTTCTACTCTGCCACCTCCATAATCTGCCCCATTTTCCCGTAAGTTCATTTTCAAGACATGTAAATGTTATTCAAATTTCCAACCTTTTGCAGAACAACGGCTTTAGACGTCATGCAGAATTTGTAGGATTAAAGCGAGAATACTGTTTAAAGTTTAAATACATTGTCTCACACAAGGGTAACGTCTTCTTGGTTTACAAACTTACAGACTTTTACATCAAAGTTTACTCGTACAGTTTAAATGCACTTTACAAGATCGGATGCAGAGCGATCAACAATAGTGAAATTGATAAAACGCTACCAGCAGTGCTTAGAAAAATGGAGAAGGGGCACAAACACGGGTTACAAACGGTAAAACAAATTGGGAAGCATGCCCAACTCCACTCTTCTTGTTTCTTCTGCACCTAAGATAAGCATCATGACAAAGTATAATCTATATAATGAATTTATTAATCAGACAACCAGCGCAGTTTGAAATCTAAACGAGCAGCATCTGAAGACTAAACCTGAAAATCAGCATCTTCGTTCTGGCATGGTACGTGTTAAGACCATTCAAAAGGACCCTAATCGTTACA